TAGGGGCAAATGTTGACTTAGTGGTGTGAAAGTCAGCAATTGACTGTCGTGGCTGAAAGGTTACTACTGCATGCGAAGAGAAGAGAATTATAGTGAGACTAGAAAATTTGAAAAAAGCTTGTGATTGAAAAGATAGCCCAGTAGATGGTGTTAGAAACGAGAAAAAAACATCATAAAACCACCGTTAATGTTACATATACACTAGTAGTTATTAAACTGTCCATAGCAATTACTTATTAACGTCGAGTACAAAAAAGTCATTTACTGAAAGTGTTAAATGGTGAAAGTTGGACGTTGAGGCGATATAGAAAACGGAACAAACTAAAGCACTGAATCTGACAAGCCCATTGCATTATTATTGGTGTAATATATTTCACTTACGACGAAATGACAGAAACGAAACACACTACAAAAACGAAGGTAAACTTTGTTTACAATTTTTTTCTGGCTATAAACTTCACTGCTTTTAAACCCCACGAGTCGCCGTCAAGAGCCAAACTGCTCATACACAAAGTGATTCCTTCGGCCTTCGGACCCGCAGGATGAAGCTTCTGTAACTTACGGCCATGCCATCGCCAATGCGGCGAAAAGTAGTTTGGAAATCGTCGTCATTGTGAAAAAACTCAAGAAAGACTATTCTGCCAGTACAAGGTCAAAGGATAATAAACTATTTTCTCATGATCTATTAATCAAATAAACGTACTGAAATTTTGTGGCCACACGATAATGTAAGCATAAGGTGCCTGGGACACTATAGGCGTTAAGCGCACGATAACGCAGAGAAAATTATGAAACAGTACCCCGCAGTAAATGTTAAAATCATCACGTTTGCCGTTTCCCAGCGCCATCGCTTGGGGAAGGTTTGCCCTTCGTTGCATCTAGCTAGCGACCTCTGATAAAGGGACGGAACGTTTTGTCCCTGTGGGGCGCCAATGATCTTCGCTAGTAGAAATGCTCTTACGATTTACAAGGAACAGGATATCCAACAGGACGTATCAAATAGTGACTTTCAGAGAACCGAAAACAATTGGAAATCATCCTGAAGAATGTAGAGCTCCTCCTGACTTTCTCGTCTGTCCTCAAGATTCGCTCGACGTCGCCACCTTTCGACGCGAGATTGAGCTGTACTTCCTCCGAAAAAAAACGCCCGGCTTGTAATCGGAAGTGTTTTCAATTGACAATAGGGAGATCGGACGTTCATGTCATTCCAATCAAATCGCATTGACTGGAAACTAGACACCGATATGCAGTAACCGGTCGGGGATCGTATTTGCGGTAGATTTACGAGCGAAGAAGGCATGCGACCGGCTGCGGATGACACGTGACGTCGACTGCCCGCCCCCAGTCAGAACGTGAGTTCATTAAGAAATGACATACCAATTAAGAATTGATATTGTTCTCCTCACAGGAGTAGGTCTCAGGTCTCGAACCTGCAGCTTGCTGTAATAGTAAATCAATAATATGGTCTTCACAAAGCAATTATATTGCATTCATCAATGTATAATTGATAGATACAGTGTCAGGAGGTTGCTGTTTCGCTTTAATGTTACTTCCAACAGAATACATATTAAAAATGTATATTTTGTATTCGACCTCTCTCGTCGAAAGGCTAGAGACTAATACTTTCTATATACGTGTATGTGCTACATTGCAGAAAAAGTTAATATTCACGAGTGTTGACTATTTAAAAGTTCGTTAACTGTTGTAAGTTACGATATTTCAGGTAAGCAACCCACTTAGTGCTGTTATAATAGCAAACGTATTGTGAAAGAAACGTCTCCTTCTTAGTAAGAGCATTTTGAATACTTCCAAAACTGACCATGCAAGTAATTGTAAAATAAATTTCACTGAAAGATTTCGTAACGAAATCAAATTGAAAACATTTCCCCCTTCCAGTTATTTTTACTTAATTTGTTATTAGAGTATTTACAGTCCTAGGCCGATTCAAAAAACTTTATCAGCCTAAGCCGAAAAAGGTTTACATAACGAACGATGAACAGTCCACATAATTCAATTTCAAAGGTACAAAAAGCACGCATCTTGAAGCCCCAAGGGCAGAAGATCGAATAGGAACGGCACGCGATCGGCGCGGAGCCTCTTTCAGGCGAGAAGGTCCGAAGCGCGCCTCCCCTCGCG